GAAGGTGGCATTTTTCATTTTTGTCCGGGGTGGCAAAATCGCTACAGCCGGCCCTGCCCCGTCATGGTTATTGCTCTGAAAAATTCATTTACTTATAAAAATGTGGTGGGAAATTCTTTGTTAAGAAATCAAATATACGAATATCAATTTTGATTTTTGCTTTCGATGTCGTATGGGTGCGAATTGATATTTTTTTTCTGATTAGTGATAATAAACAACAATGGAGTAGGGACCAGTTTATGAGTGGAACTACTTTTTAACTATCTTTCATATCTTTCAAGCGAAAGATATTTGAAGAGAATAGGCTGCTTCTAGAAGATTGGGAATTTGACTATTTTGTTATGAAAAACAAGCATGGATCAGTAATTGTTTTATTTGTCACGAAAGTGTCGCATTTAAAAAATACCAATAAATAGGAATCGTTTAATGACACTTTTCCTCGATCTCTTTCAAGAGGTGATAAAGAGGCTTTCTTGAATAATCTTTACAATAGAAAAAAAGTGTTTTGTCGGTGGTAATGTCACAGTGGTAACAAAGGCACCCTGTGAAATTTGTTATATTATTGTTAATCATGTGAAACCGTTACTGATGCAGAAATTGTGAAGTAGTAATTCTTAAATGCTTCCAATTTAGAAAAATTCAATGACAAAAATAAAAAATATAAAACATAATAGTTAAAAAAGCAAAATAGGAGTTTTAATACTCGGATCAATTTTCCACATTTTATATTTGCTATGTTATCTAGGTCTGAAAGCATTTCTCCCCCACCCCTCCCTTCCTCCATTAATCATCATGTTGCGGCCCGCGTGAAATAGTCATTATATGTATGCGGCCCACGTGGAAAAGCTAACATACGTATGTGGCCGGGCAGAAGAAAAGGTTGAGTACCCCTGGTCCAAGAGCTTTCTTAAGATCAGAATTGATTAAAATATATACAAAAATTACGCTATATAAAACAATCAGCAGACCCTCAGCTAGTCGTTTATATACGCCAAAGGCACTTAAGAGGTTAAAGTCGTATTATAGCTTTTGTATCAAAATATATTTATTGTTGAATTAAGTACATTGTTATATTGCATGGAGGGGGAGGGGAAGCGAGATGAAAATTATGATTGAATATTGCGTCGCAATTATAGAAACTTTGATAAGCACTGATTTATTGGATCCTTTTGAATAAAATCAAAACACCCTGACAGAAAAAGTGTTATAATGAGATAAAAAATATGGAATACCAAAAACTTTCAGTTAATTTGAGTTCTGCTTTAGTTTTGAAAATATTTTTGTGAATAATTGTTTTTCCCGAAATAATGATAATGAAGGAATGTAATATTTATTGAATTATGAAAATATATGTAGAATTAGTTTTGCAGCCCTTTTGGAAAAAAACGACAGCAGTAAAACTTTATGAATTATTTAGCATGTGTTCATGAGTATGTCATAAGATTCATTTATATATATACATATATCAAGTTTCTCAAATATTTTCTAGCACCGCTAGCACTAAAACTACAATTTTAACAATTCTGGTGAGTTTCCACTGTTTAAATTAGGATCGGATAAATGATTAGTCGAGTCAGATGTTTTAATCACATTGAGTAAAATGTAAAGAAACATACTTCATGGTAAATATTAAAATTAATTAGCAGAGTAAACATGATTAAAAGGGAACTATAATAGTAGCAGATCCGTAATTTGATGTATTCTAGAGTTTTTATAAGTATAAGCATATTTTTTAAGGATGTGTGAATTTATAATTGTTAAATCATCAAGTATCATACCAGAGTTCTTAAACAATGGTACGTTTAAGCAAATTAAATCGTTGGTTTTTTATGTTATACACAGGCAACAATCTCTAAATTATTTCTAGTTGTTTTAAAATTCTACAGTGTAATTTTTAATTATTATTTACCTTCTTTTTAACTTAATCTACTTGAGGAATATTCAAATACAAGGAATGCTATTTAAAAATGAATGTTAAATTAATCTGAAGATGTTTTATAACTATTAAATAAATGTATACTACCCAATATCTTTAAATTTTCGAGCGCCTTTCAGGAATCTTTAAACAATGCGGCAGTGCAAGCATCAGGTGAACCTTTCAATATATATCCTCCAATTCTAGAACTGAAGCCGAAACAATTTTCCTCGTGCATTCCACAAAATCCAATGTTTACTGCTCTGAATGTATATTGCATTGACTATTAAATGTAGATAAATTGTCATTTTATCTGTTCAACGCACTTATATTAAATATTTGCTCGATTTATATGTCACGTTAAGAACATATTGAATTTGTACCATGTTTATTCTTTTGTGCTTTACTTAACGTTTTCTTTATTTCATCTAAAAACAATTATTGCGTCTCCTAAAATGCAATTTATTTCCCGATTTCCAATTGAACTGTAGGGTCTTACGCCTATTACATTGCACTCGATGCATTTCTCTCTCTTTTATTTGTTTCTTATTGACGAAAGCTTTGTATCGAATTTTCTTTCATAACATCGCCAATACTAAGTAACGAATGGTGAAAGTGGTGTTGTATTTACTACATCAAACCTATATTTTTTTTAGTGGCCATCTGGCTCATGCTTTCGGATCGGTCATATATATAAAGTATTATTAATAAAAATATTAATTTGGAACTTCCACAAAAGTTGAAGAAGTTTGAGCTATATTCTTTTGTTGGCTCACAGCTCTTTTCTTACATATTACTTACCTTATACGGATCAGAAGTAATATTTTCACCCTTTTTGTGTGTGTGTGATAACCATATTTCATAATATTTCTTTTTTCTGTATCATATTTTTCTTATAAGTTAAAGTGTTTGAGTATTCTTCTATTAGATATATTAAAGAGTTTAATTTTACAATTAAAGGAAGTGTGGAGAGAATATTAACTTTCATTCTTTTTAGTATTTAAACTAGCTGTTATTTGCCCACTATTCTGGATATTTCATTATATTCGTCGTCTATATACTTATAAATACATAAGTATAGGTGTTAAGATTGAAAAATATTATTAGAGCTCTCTACTCTTGAATTTAAGGAAAACAAGATTTAAATTTCTACAGCTGAAATCTATTTATCTTTTATGCTCCAGTAAGACTCCGAGAGCCAAATTTTGCAAAACAAATTCTTTGTGGATTTTTACTCAACAGCAACAACAAAAAAAACACACATTATTGCTAAATTTCAAACCTGCGGATCTAATAGTCCAGACACGGAAACTTTTATTTGTAATGCCTCCGCAACATTCCCTGAGAGTCGATTTCCACAAAACCCATTTTTAGAGGATATCTATTCAAAGTAAATAAATAAATAAGCATGCTTAAAAATTTTAAATCTTCAAGTCTAATATTTCCCAACCTTGAATTTTGTAACTTCACTTCTCGTGACTACCCTCCCACAATCCCTATATTAATCACAGTTTCCATTAAAAGCATAGATAGCAAAAGAAACATACTTACAAAATTTCAAGCCTGAAAGTCGAATAGTATAATAACGGGAACGCTTATCAATAACGCTCCTTAACCCTTCTCAGCTCTCCTTGTTTGAGAGTCGATTTGCATAAAACCCGTTCTTAGCGAATCTCTGTTCGATGAAAAAAAACATGCTTACCGTAATTTGTCTGTAGGTAAACTTTCCTTTTTTATACGCCCCGTTGCTATTCCTTTACAACAGCCTTTGGATGTCGACTTCCGCAAAATCCATTTTAATAAATATCTACTTAACAAATGAAACATAATGACCAAATTTCCAGTATGTAGGTTGAATAGTTTTTGAGTGAGAACTTTTATCTGTGAAACCTTCTTAACCTCTCGCAACCCCCTTTGGGGTTCTGAGAGGTTAGGCAACCCATTTGGGATTCAATTTTTACAATACCTGTTCTTACCGGAAAGAATGGCAACCAAATTTAAAGTCTGTTGCCCTAATAGTTTTGGAGATTTCGTGATGAGGGAGTGATGATGTTTATATATATATTTTTGTGTGTTATTTTTCAATACCTATTACTAGTTCACACTCTCCCTATATATATATTTATATATATCGTGTTCAAATGTTCAATAGTTAATAAAATACTTCTTATTTATCAACTCAAGTTCAAATGCAATTTTGTAAAATTGTGGTGGTGGGACTAATCCCCATCTGGTCTAGTTTCACTAGACCAGATTCCTGAGCCTATAAATCTCCACAAAGTCTAAGAACAGCAGGGAGGAAGCAACAGCCTCCTCACAGAAAAACTCCAGATATTTCAGGAGAAAAAAGGACTGATGTCACATTTGGTGCAAATTGGGAAGCTTCTTTTGCCACGTACAAAATTTATGCACTTCAGGTGACCAGTTGAAAATCACGAGAATGCCGTTTGATAAGATCTGGAACCCTTGAATGATATGACGGATGTGTTTGATAGTACCAGGGAGAGGGGGGGTACAGGATGGACAAACCGGGCTCTACATATTAATTATTTAGCCCTGGAATAGATCTCGGCTGACATAAGGACCGTGGTCTTCCGGATCCACAGGATCGCTGGCAGCCGCCTTCTCAAGGTCATCTTCCGCTTCGTTCACGGGCAGGCCTACATGAGAAGAGACCCATTGCAGATGGATATGGTGCTGATCTGAAAACTGTTTAAAAAGGTGTAGAATACTCCTTCTGGTGCTGTTGCTGATAGAGGGCCAATTCGATAAATGTTAGAAGAAGGATCGGCTATCTGTCAGGATCCAAATTTCAGAAAAAGCTTGGTCTTGTATATTGTTAATTAATGAAAGACCACACATGATAGCTATTTACTCCGTTCTGAAGACAAATGCGTGGTCAGCACTTTTCCTCTGAATTACCCCCCCCCCCACCCTCTTTACCTTGTAAAATTGTAGCGGATGACACTTGATCTTAAGACAGTTTTTTCAAACATTATTTCATTAATATTTAAATAATTAATGAATAAATAGTAACAAAAATAATAGTCCAACACCATGTATAAAAAGGAAAATTGTTCGTTGTGTTCCGGTAACGTAATTAATAGGGCGTTGGACTTCTAATCCAAAGGTTGTGAGTTCGAACCTCACCTGGGATGGCCTAATTTCTGTGAATGTGATTTCTTTTAACCATACTATTTTATTCGAATAATTAAATTTAAATAATGAATAAATAGTAATAAACAAAAATAACGGTCCAACACCATATAAAGAAAGGAAAATGGAAAATTGCAAGGAAATTAGTTTTCTATTTTGATACTTAATATTGTGATTATGTCATATGTATATACATATTTATATTAAATGTAATTATTTAATAAAAAGTAACTAAAAATATTAAATTTTTCTTTGTTGACCAAGTAGGAATTGACTTAATTTTTTTTATATTACTTGTTATAATGGAAGTTATTGAGATAACGTTTGTGCAAAATTACAAAATTCGAGATATTTACAATAAATATCACACATGATTTTCATACTTGAATTCATAAATAATTCCCAACATTCATCATGTATAACATTTTTAATCAACGCCATTTTTTTAGCTGGATTTAAAAATCTCTATATATCTGGTATGGGTTTTAAAAGAAGAAACAACTTATCAAATGTTGCAATCCATGTGTTTGATAAAGAATTATTTTAAAAAAATACCATACTTCGTAATGCTCTTAGATACAATTATCATAATACATTAATTTAAAAAACTTTGTTACAATACATTAACGTCATGCATTGTTATTCTTATTATAAAATAATAAAACCATTGAATACAAAATATCCTAAAACGTTCTGAATAACATTCGGGGTTTAAATTTACTATAAAAAAACCTTTCCAAGAGAAAAAAAATGACACGCAATAATATGAGCATCTATAATTATGCTTTTTTAACATAGCTAGGCATAACACATTCTCATTTTTTGCACTTTATTCATAAAAAATATTCCATACATTAAAATCTTCGCTTCAGGAAATTGTGAAAAATAATCTTAAAGATACCTTCCGAAGAATTTTACTGATAAAGAATACGCAAGAAAATAAATATTAAAATTCTAATTAAAATGAATGATAAAGCAGTTACCTGAGGATATTTATTCTGTATACAGATACCAATTTGAATTTCCTTTATTATGTAGCATTCTGTTATCTAATAAATAAATTTCCTTTTTTAACACTTTTTTTTTTTGCTTTACTTATATGGAATGCTTTAGCAATGGAGCATTGATGAGTGTAAGCATAATTAATCTCCGACTTATTATTATAGAAATTTTCTCTTATATGTTATTTTAATATTTTTATATATTTATTGTGAAGCAAATATTGATATACATCCGAATATTCACATGAATATTTTTCCATGAACAAATAAATCTGATGCAGTAAAGTAACCATTTAGTTCTAAATTAAGGTATTCAGATAAAAACACAACTTAGATAACAGTGGAATAAAAAATAAGTACCCCGGTATTTTAATGAAATATTGACGCTATGTCTCTCAGAATATTATTTTCTTTAGGAAAACAAAAACAATAAAAGGGGAAAAAAACTCAGTAATATTTTCTTTTTTTTGAAAGATTTTTTTTGTCAATTAATGCATACCTTGCTGTGAATTAAGATCTTCCTCCTCATAATGTGCAATTAAAAAAACAAAAATATTATTTGAAATCCTTAAATAATTCTAAATAAATATATGTCGTATTACAATGATGATTTGGCAATATTTTAAAGTTTAACTTTATTTCTTTTTTATAGTAATACAAGAGAAAAATAAAAATGATTGGCGTTGCAATATATACCCAGGCTTAGTTTAATCTTAATAAGAAACGTTTAATTAAATAAAATTATGTGTTAGATTATACAAGAAAAGGTTAATGTCATAGAACATTATTTCCTGATTTTTCATTTTATTTTCACATTCCAATAAATTATTATAGGAACATCTTTAAATTGTTTAAAAAAATTATTTAGCTGATTATCGTAATTAAATTTTCTATATATATATTTTTATTCCCTGTTCAATATAATGTTATTTTAAGTGATAATCTTAATATAACCAATATTAAAAATAGTTGATGTCTTAAAAATAAAAAGAATTTTATTCTTTGTTACGCGTTCAAGAACATTTTTATGTATCTTCTAGATTTCTTCATTCTATTGAAATGATTAAAAAGATTATTGCAGCATAATGAGCACTAATTTCATTCTATATTTATTTTAAGGGGGAAAAATTGTACTGGAAAGAAATTGATCGGAATAATTGAAATTTACAGGAATGGTACGTCTGGTTAGGCAATGCAAATGACTAAATTTTCAGGTGCGTTTGATCGTTTACACAGAGCAAACATAAAACAACTGAAGCATAATGTTTATCAATTCATAAGGGCATCTAATAGTGAAGATAGATCATTTTGATTCACGTTGTTGTGTTGGTTACATCGTTTCTCTTTGGATTATACCTCTTGTAAACATTCCCAAGTAGTTTTCTGGAAGTTATTATCGAAAAGTTTCGAACCCGAATTATCCACAATCTCTGGTATTTTGACAACAAAACACAGACAAAAAACTCAATCATCTTAGGTAAAGAAGAAATCGCAACAATGTACAAAACCGGATACTTAGGCTGATATATATATTAGGCTGATATTTTTGCATTCATTATTATTTTTTAATGATATTGATGAACAATGGTTTAATAAGGAATAAAACAGTTATATTCATGATACAAAATTAACTACAAGTAACAATTTCCAAATTTTTCGGGAAATCATTATTATTGTGTGAGCAATTGTTAAAAAAAATAGGTCAAACATTGAATTTTATAAATAAAGTCTTTTTTTCCTTTAATAAATATATAAAATAGTACATTTTGATACATTATTCAAGTATTTATTTATAGTTTAAAATATTCTGTATCATAAATAATACTCTAACTAAATTCTGATATTATAATTTATTTAAAAAAAAAACACAACTAAGCTATATATATATAAATCTCTAATTTAAAGTTTACATATTTAATTGAGTAAAAATATCGAAGTTAAATTTGTTCAAGATACATAAAAAGATTTTTTTTTCTTTTGCTTTAGAACTCTATTGCCCTCGAACATTTGACGGTTGGGGTTGTTGGAATGATACACTTGCTGGAAAAACTGCTTACATTCCTTGCCCACAGTTCATCACTGGATTTCTTCCCGAAAGTAAGTAGTTTATTGTTTTTTAATTGGTTTATAACTTACAATAGGCTGTAGTTCGTGTGCTCTTATTATATGTTTTAGTTGAAAACTTATAATATAATTTCCAATCAATTGAATCTAACCATCTTAAGGTATCCGACTACGTTCGGAACCGTGATTTTGCTAAAGCTTATAAATGGATAATACTTATGATATTTAGTGACACTTAGATAAGAAAATGTGTATAAAATTATTTTAAGAATAGTATTACAATAAAAAATTATTTAAGTACAATATTTTGACAAAAAATGAACATAGAATGACCCATTTTCAAAATATTCTCCTTTTGTGAAAAATACTTCTATTATAATAATATTTCGACTGTATATAGCTCAGACCTCTCTACAGAGGCTCAACTAGAATTTTCGAAATATAAAACTTAGAAGTGGGTTTATCCGTGTTTTACGACAACAGAGTGGAGAAATTTTAAGAAAAAAACGCCGATAATTATTTCAATGTGTTATAACTCTGAAAATAATGTGGATTTTTCAAAACTCATAGTTGAGCCTCTGTGCAGAGGTCTGAGCTATATACAGGCAAAATATTTTTATAATAGAACCCTTTTTCACAAAAGAAGAACATTTTGAAAAAAGGTTATTCTAAGCTAATTTTTTGCTGAAATAGTGTATTTAAATAATTTAGTTTTCGTCAAAATATCCTTAAAACAATTTTATACATGTATTCTAATCTAAGTGACACTAAATATCATGAAAATTATCCATTTATGAACTTCCGAACGGTTCCGAACGTATTTGGATACCTTAAATGACTTGTTCACAGTATGTTGTATATTTAATATTTCAATAACTTTATTAGCCAAATTGAAAATTAATTTTTATGATGACTGTTTTTAGGATCAGCTCATAAAGAATGTAATCCTGATGGATCGTGGTACAGACATCCCGATACTAATAGGACTTGGTCTAATTATACCACTTGCGTAGATAAAGAAGACTTAACGGTAAGTGTATATTGTTAAGGCTTCAAATTGATATGTATTGCAATGCACGTAAAATTAAAATTCAAAGTTCACTTAACTGTCAGCAAGACATGGAAACAATGTCTATTGAAATCTCTGATGTTCTCGATTGGAGAGCAATCCGGAGAAAATACTGTCCAGGGAAGCCTTCGTATATCTTGTACAGCAGTCTTGACTGGTTCTTGCAGTGTGCGGTCAAGCTGCACATGGCTCACAGAAAGATTGATTTAGAACATGATCCTCACCTTGTGATACTCCCGGGCTGGAGGTATCATCTGTTCCTCATCCACGCAACCTAAATTTATTATGGAAGGTTTGAGTGGTCAATCTTTTATCCCTACAAACTTAGGTCGCGTGGATGAGGAACAGATGATACCTACAGCCCGTGGGTATTACAACCTATTCTATCGTACGCGTAGCTTTAGCTTGACATTTTTCCACAAACCAAGTTATCTATGCTCTAGGATCAATGGTAAACTTCTTAATAATCGTCATGAGTGTCGAACATTAGCAATCAACCGGCAGTTCATATTTCTGGTTGGTATGGGAACATCCATGTTAAAGCGTTGATTCATGCGTACTGACGTCTCTTTGACAGCACCAGCATCCCTCAAATTTTTATTATTTTCTTGTTCTAACAATCTTTGTTACAGCCGCTTACCTTCGACGCATCTAGGGAAATGTCCACTGATTTGAAGTATACAACCAGCTCTTCTCAATTTAGTATCCATGGGCATCGTAGAGTCGTCTGTTTCGCAGAACCTGCTTTCGTTGACGGCGGCATAACATTCTCTGCTATTAAAATTGTGCTGTGAGAGAAAAGGCATTTTACAAATGTTTTTCCTGACAAAAATAATGGCATGGATAATGTCTATTCTGCAAGTTCCTT